TTTTTTAAAATACGAATGGTGCTTTGAAAATCTAAAAAATAGTACAAACTAAAACTATATTGGGAATGTAAGTGAGGAATATAGTCATCATTAAATCAAAGTAGGTGGAGAACATTTAAGTTAATGAATGGTTCGCGATTTTTATCAACGTGGAAATCGTAGTGGAGAAGAAAGCAAAGGGTGAGTATCAACTCGTGTCTTCTTTTTTTTTTTTTTTAATTAAAAGAGGTAAGGACAACATTCGGGTCCCAATTGACATAAAAATACTCAAGGGGTCTTTTTTTCGTTTTCTTATATTGAAAAAGTAATAAGAATGAGAGGACTTAAGTTTTTTATCATCCTGGCGTCGAGTTATTTTTCCGCATGACCTCCCCTACAGTATTGTCACCGCAGTAGAGTTTAACAATTAAGTTCGGGATGGGTTGGTGTGGTTCCTCTATGCCTAGGACACTTGAATATCGAACCATGAACGAAGAAAGGCATGAGAGAAAAGTATACTGGCTAGGACCCAAGAAATATATTTTATGCCAGCAAGTACTGTATAATACTATGTACCCAAGGGGTATGCCCAAGGGATGAACATAAATATTAATCAGATTCCTAGCTTCGTCCTCCTCCGATTTTATTTCTCATAAAGGAAGAAAGGGCCAAGGGCAGAGTATGGTCATACTCTAGCCCAGTACAAATGAAACTATTTTAGTCTAACTCATAAGTAAGGAAAGGACAATCTATCTAGAAGTATAGGACCCTTAAAATGTCTAGGCAGGCTTTCCAAACTATTGTATACATCTGAGTGACCAAGAGATGCAAGTGCAGCCAGACTATCAGCAACTGCATTAGCTTTCCCTGTAAATATGTCTGATTTCATAAGACCTTCTATCCATTATGGCACGAATTTCCATGATATGTGAGAAATACATCCAAGGAGCTGATTTCAAAGATACAAGGAGCTCCGCCAAGACCTTATTATATCGAACTGTATTTCCACCAAATCTAGTTCAAGTTGCTCACATTTTCGGATTCCAAATAGAAGCCCAAATACTTCAGCACCAAAACTATCCAACTCTCCAAGATAGCCACCTTCACCATACAAATAAATTCCATCATATCTTCTAATAGCAAAACCATAAACCGAGTCCATATTAACCCTCGAGCCATCCATATTAAGCACAAAACCTTCCCTGCGCAATGGCTGCCATTTAACTGAAATGCATCGACTTTGTTGGACGTTTTTCAGCATAAATCCAAAAGCCAGCTCAACAAAATCCCTTTCACCAGTATTTGCTTCCTTCAATTCATGGACAAACAGAAAATTTCTAATGCCCATTTCCACTTCATGAATAACTCTTCCTTTGTCAAAGCTAACACCATCAAAGCAAACCCTATTCCAAGCTTTCCAAACGTCCCACATTATGAAGGACGGAATTACATTGAACAATGCTTTTTTTGCTGTTGTGAAGGTCCCCTTATCCCACCATTTATGCAAAATATCCAACAAAGTTTGATCATTCCGAAACTGTAGTTGCAAAGATTTGCAAAATACTCCCATATTTCCTGCACCCCGGGACAACTATAAAAACAATGGTTTATTCCATCCTCACGTAATTTGCAAAACAAACACATTGAGGGCTGAATGTATATCCCCATGCAGCACAAAGTCTCCGGAAATGGAATCAGCAAATTTCGAAGCTTCATACAAAGAAAGAAATTCGCAGAGGAACAAACATGTGCCAAAACTTCTTAGCCAAAGGATCCTCAGCTTGTTTTCTTCTAATCTGCATGTATGCCCACTTAATCGTGAAAGAACCTGTTGGAGTGCACTGCCAAACAACCTTATCATGTTCCGCGTTCAGCATGACATCCATGTTAACCAATATACTCCGCGCGCTTGAGGGCAAAACTCCCTGAAATTCAGAAAGCAACACATTCTTGTTAGAGAAAAAATCATGTATAGTGAGGTCTGGTCTTGGCGGCTGATCATCATAGTCCTTCCAAATAAGTCCATTCGGCAGCCAATTATCGAACTAAAAGGACATGTTCCCTCCTTTAATTAAAACCTTCGTATGTCTTATTGCCTCAAGCTCCACCCCTTTAATCCTGCACCATGTAGTTTTCCGTTTAGCGGTTTCAGAAAGAGACAAGACAAACTTACTCCACAAGCCTTGTTTCATTTTTACTTTCCACCAAAGCTTATAAGTGAAAGCTTTAATAACATCTTGAAACCGACGAATACCCAAGCCATTTTCCTCAGTTGGAAATGTCAAGCGATCCTACGCCCTCCAATGCTTTTTACTTTCTTCGCTAGTGCCTTGCAATAAGAACTTCTGGCACCGCTTCTCCATTTGCTTAATTAACGAGATAGATGGACTTATAGCCGAAAACACATGCAAAGGCATTGCTGAAAGAACATGCCGCAAAAGAATAAGTCTTCCCTCCGGACTTAGCAACTTGTTTTTCCAACTAGTTAACTTAGCATAAAGTGAATCTAGCATATACTAAAAAGCTGAAACTTTCTTTCTACCGTGATACAACTTGCATCCCAAGTACATAAAAGGAAAGAGCCTTTATTCATCCCCAATGATCTCTTTATGATCTCAGCCAGTTGTGCACTACAAGCTTCAGCAACTAGGAAAAAACTCTTTTGACGATTCATTTTTTGACCGGAAGCAACTTCATAATCCTCAAAAAAAAGCGTTAAGCCTTTTCAATGACCTCTGCTCCCCCCTTGTGAAAATTATAAGGTCATCTGCAAAACTAAGATGTGAGACTCCCATAGAACCCGCCGGTGTACCATAAGCAGCTATCTTTCCAGCACTCATCATACTCTTTAGCCTTCTCAACATTGCTTCCGCCACTAAAATGAACAAATAAGGCGAGAGAGGATCACCTTGTTTTATACCACATGATGATTTAAAGAACCCAACTGGCGAGCCACTAACAATAACTGAAAACCAACTACATCGGAGATTATTCATTATCAACAATACAAAGTGAACCGGGAAGCCTAGCTTCAGCAACACTTTCTCCAAAAAATCCCAAGACACTCTATCAAAGGCCTTCATCATGTCTAACTTGATCACCACATTATTCCCAACCGCTTTATGAGTAACAAATTGACAAAGATGTTGTGCCAAAACAACATTGTCAATTACATCTCGCCCCTCAAGAAAGGCAGATTGCTCCTGAGAAATAATATTTGGCAAGACTTTCTTCAAACACCCCGTGATGATCTTCATAAACACCTTGTTAAGAAAATTACGTAGACTTATCGGCAGAAAGTCCGAGAAAGTAGTAAACGAAGCCTTTTTAGGGATTAAAGTTATAACCGTACTAGCAATAGCTCTCGGGATTGGGATACCGGCCATAAATTCCTTGCAAGCATTCTGCAAATCATCCGCTATGATTTCCCAACAGGATCTATAAAAAAATTCCACCAAAGCCATCCATTCCCGGCGAGCTATCTTCACCAAGGATAAAAACAGCATTCTTCACTTCCTCCAACGTCGCCATGCTAGTACGCATTGCCTTGTCACTCAAATCAAGTCCATCATGAAGATGACGTAGGAATTTATCTTGTTTCTCCCCTTGATTATGTGTGACCTCCTCGGCCGCCAATAAATTCTGGAAAAAGGACACAGCTTCCCCTTCAGTGTCTTTCAATTCTGTTAAGCATCGACCCTCTTCATTCTGAATTTTTTGGATTCCCATTCTCATCTTCTTCTCCACCAGTGTTGCGTGGAAAAAGGATGAATTTGAGTCTCCATCGTTTAGCCATTTGAGGCGCATTTTTTTCTTCCAAAAATCTTCATGCTCTTTAAGCTTTTTCAACAAGAAAGCGTTTCTATCAGCAACTTCACCCGAATGATCGTGGATAATTTCCAAGTCTTCGCACCTTCTCTTCCGCTAACTTCAAGTTTTGAAACACATCCCCAAAATGCTCTTGGTTCCATTCTTTAAGTTTCAGCTTCAATCTTCTAAGTTTAGTTGAGAAAGCCAACATTCCACAGCCTTGTACCGACTGAGACCAACTTGTCATCACCACATCCTTGAACTCCAATCATCTAAGCCACATATTCTGAAATCTAAACAGTCTTGGCTTGCTTTCGACCGGCGAGTCAAATTGAAGGAGAAGCGGGCAGTGGTCTGATGTGGTCTAGCTCAAATGTTCAATACAAACCCCAGGAAAAACATCCAGCCACTCATTAGAAATGAGAATGCGATCCAATCTTTTGCTTACCCATCCAGAACTCCTAGTTCCCCCCAAGTAATCTCATCCCCAATGACATAATTCTCAATCAATCCGGTTGCCTCTATAGCTTGATTAAACTCTTCAATAGCCCTATAATCCTGCACTGCATTGCCCGAATACTCCTCCAATGACCGAATTACATTAAAATCCCCTCCAACAATCCAAGGAGAGTTAGGATGTGATCCCCTAAACCTCTCTAAGCTGGCCCAAAGATCCCTTCAATCAACCTTAGTCAACTTAGCATAAATGGATGACAAGAAAAGAGTTTTCTGTAATGGAACATAAGTAGCTTCCAAATGTAAAGCTTGCTCCGCATCCTCCATTATTTTTAGCACAAAGAGGTTACTACACATGACCCAAATTTTGCTTGTAGAAGATGAGAAGGCCACATCAAAATTAAGCACCCTTTTTATTTCCTCCTGCTTGTGAACCGGAAGCATTGGCTCTAAGATTACCACAAGTGATGATCTATACCTTTGAATGAGGGTTTTCAAGTGTCGTTGCGAAGCCTGTTTTTTTATCCTCTAATATTCCAAAATAGGACACTAATCATTGGAAAAAAAGACAGAAATTGGGAACTATTGAAGTCGGAGGGACCGTCGCAATTCAGCCCCTTCCAACTGTTTCGCATGCACCTCCTTCAGACTTTCGACCACGCTTTTTTTTGACGGAGCGTTCACCATGCTCGTTTTCAATCACCTGAGCTTCATCTTTATCACCATCAGACCATCCACCCTTCCGCTGATAGTCCTCATCGTCTTCCTGGCTATCGAATTCAAAAGAGTCATCGGGGGAATTCTGTCCAGCTGGCTGCGATATGATTGATTGAGTAGGCAGGTTAGAATCATTCACATTATGAACCATCTTTGGAATTTCATTGACTTTTTCATTCAACACTACTAAGTCTTCTTTACACTGCAGTTGCTCTACTCCTTTTTCCTCAGCAAATACAATCTCCACCACCTCATCCGTTTCCGCAACTAAATCAGCCACCCCATCCATATCTTGAAGTGCCAAAAACTTGTTAGCAGTAGGGGTTGGATTCGGATTTTTCAATGTCTCCACCACTTGTTCCTCTTGAATTCTTTCTGGAGTTTGCTGAAGATCAACCAATACAGCCTCTTTCTCCTTAGCCGTAAGTCCAGAACTTGACTCCTTTATTTGTTGCTCGAGGGATTCTGCAGGGCGCGTAATTAGGGTTCGCGCGTCTAGGGTTTCCGCAGGTTGCGACATCTCTTCACTCAACAGTGGTATCAATTCCATCTCAGGCTCAATTCCTTTCACAATCAAGGGATCTGATTGAATAATCTGCACTTAAGCCGGAGCATCCGACTTCTCTTTCTCTCTGAATGCCAACTTCGGCTTTGCGGCCGGAATTTTCAGACCCTTTTTCTTCAATGCCGGCGCAACTATCCCATCACCCTCCTTATTTGGCATCGGATTCTTCCCAATTCGGCACTCTTCTTCCTTATGGCCGATCTTACAGCACTTAAAAAAATATCAGTACGACGAAACATGTTCAAACATGAAGAATTGCTCATGTAACCGTCCCTTTTTTCCAATCCTAACCGACTTCGGCATTTTTTTTGTGAGATCTACCTTGATACAAAAACGCGCCACCGACAGACGCGTCATATTGAGGATAGGCGTATCAACCTTCAATGGTTGACCTAGTGCAGTAGCTATGGAAAAATCATTTCCGGGTGCATATACTCAATTGGTAGATCTTGTAGAGAAACCCAAATTGGCACCAGTTATGTGGGAGTCCACTTCCAAGATCCTCATAGAAAATCCACTTATGTTCCAGAATGTTCGAATCCAACACCGTTGATAGTCCTCCTCCTACTCGAATCGGATCAAAACATGCCCTAGATTCACAAGACCCAAAGTACAGTTTCCATTGAAACCAATTTTTCTAAATTCCTTATGTATCTCCTCCATTTTAGGTCTCCTATACGAGAACTTGCCGACCAAACTCAAGCGATGCGGAGCAATCAATTCTTCGAATACCTCATCCTCAAACTCCAACGTTGGAATACCATTAACAAATTTCACAGGCTTTATTAAAGATGCCTTGTTAGAAGAATCAACAAGGGGTTTCTGAAAAAAACTTACAAACGTTTTTGGGGGTTCATGGTGCGGGGCCAGTGGAAGAGCGCCGGCCATGGTTGCCGATGACCCTTGAAGCCGTCGCAATTAGGGTTTCAAGTTTGAAATCTAGAGAGAATAGGGAGAAAAAAAATTTTTGAGAGAGAAGTAAGATAGCCGAGAAAACCCGATTTTATGGGTTGTATTATCAACTCGTGTCTATTATATGTAATTTGGAGATTTACTCCCTTCTGGAATAATTATCAAGATTTGATTTTTGTTTATTTCTCGTACAGATTTGGATGAACAATTTGTTAACATTTGAGAAATTTGAGCACTTATTATTTTCGAGACATAATGAACATTTATTATAAGATATTTACTATACTAAAAAAACCACATTCCTTTTTCTCGTAATGTCCAATCCTCTATACAAACTCAAAATTCCTTACTCTTTGCCTATAAATTGTACTACTACCATGCCACCGTCCATGTCACAACTCTCTTTCTCAAAAACAAGAAATTCCAGAACGATTACAGTAGAGTGATTCTCAAAAAATTACTCGCTTCATTGGCTGGTGGCGGCGGCGGATTAAAGAAAGCCACAGAATGATGAAGAAAACAAGGAAGATTTGTCATGATCTTGGCGGAGATCGTTTATCTGAAGAGCTGATTCTTGAGATTCTATACCGTTTACCATTAAAAAACGCAGCCCAATTCAGGTCCGTAAACAGGGGATTCAACGAAGCCATACTCGATCCAAGGTTTGTGGAACAACATCTCATCAGATCAAGGGAGAAATTCATCATCCTCCATTACTCTGCTCCCTATTTGAACATCATCGGCAAACTAACACTTTGCTCCGAGGACAACTACATTGATCTAGGATTCAAGGAAGAATCTTTGGTGCTGTCTTCTTCCTCCTCTGACGGCCGACTTTTGATTCTATCCCGTGATTTTGATTACCCGTTTGTTGTTTTCAACCCTTTGCTCGGCGCGTATCGAATTATGCCGCGGCCAAACATCGACCCTGAAGCGAATATCTTGTTTGTCGGGTTAATCGATGGAATCAGCGATATCAAATTAGTAGCCGCTATTCGGGATAAAGGGTTGTTAAAATTCTTGATTTTTGAATCAGGAAACAATGGGTGGCACAAAGTCTACACTGGGAAAATCATTAACACCGATTTGTTCAACATCGTGAACAACTCGCAATTTGTTTGCTTTAACGACTGTATGAATTGGCTGATGACCAACGGAGATATATTAGTGTTTGGGTTAAGTCTTCAACGACCTCGAATTATTCAAAAGCCTGATGTTCCTGATCAGCCTGTTGATCCAGATGTTCGACAAAGGTTGAGTTTATACGGTATGGAAACGGTTTGGTTTGGTACAGCTCAAGGTTATCTTGCTTATGTGGTACCTAAAAAGGAAGACATTTTGGTGTATGGTTATCACTATGAGAAGGAAATCTGGGAGGTGAAGAACAGAATTCGGAAAAATTTCGGGGACGGGGAGGTTAGCAGCAGAGGAATGCCAGCCTTTTGGGATGGTAAGATGTTGATATTCTTGGCCGGGAATCAGTTTAAAGAGATTTACAAATATGAAGTTCAGGGGAAGACATGGCAGAGACTTGGAGCATTGCAGAGTTGGACAGATTGTATCAGATGTTTCCATCCATTTGTTCCGAGTTTCTCCGGCGCAGTTCCGGGTTGCAAATATCTCCCTGATGTTCATGAGATTGATGGAGTTGAAGTTGAATTAATTGAAGTTGAAGGTGAGAATACTTTTCAACAACTTGAAGATCGGGTTTGGGAATATCTTCATGATGTTCGTGAGATAGATGAGGCTGAAGGTGATCGTCGGAGGATTATTCAACAACTTGCTGCGTTACAATTACTTTTAACTACCAATACACCACAACCTCTTTGCAAAACTGATATTATACTCCAGTGAAAAGTAATTCTTGGGACGGAGAAAATATCTTTTAATTTTAAGGTATATCATTGTAGTGTTTTTGTTTTGTTATTGCTTTGAATTTCATCAGTCATGTCAGATTTCATTAATTGATGGTTTCGGGATTTATAATTTTAAGTTCCAATGGATCATACATGTTAGGCCTTCCTGATAAATTAACATTCGATACTATGCGGCGAGTTGGCATATTTTTCTAGAGTTTCAATTTTTTTACTCCCTCCATTCCAAATTAATTATCCAGATTGAAATTTCACTTTAATATAATTTGTATTAAAAATACAAATTTAAATTGGACAATAATTTTGTAACGGAACTGAATATCATATTTGAGCTATCGTAGTATCGTGTTTCCTCAAAGAACTAAATCTTTCCAGAGTTTAGTTGCAAGAATTTGAATCACAGGAGATTGTCTGCACTCGATTTTTGTTTTTCCATAGCTAAAGAGATAATCGATTGAAAAATAATTCGGAGATTGAGATTGTTCTCCATGACCTAAAATTCCATCCTATTTCCGTAAATTGATCAGAAGCTAATGCTTGTCTCATTTGACTACTTGCAGGAATTATTTATATTTTTCTGGGACCAATGAAAATGCAGCTAATACATTTGCGTTTGGAATCATTGAATCTTGACGTTCTTCCAGCCCTCCAGATATAATAACTACATTGCTGAGAAATGTTGAAGTCAGTTTCTGAAATATTCTTTCTGAGTCTAAATGATTATTTAGTTTGAAATTTCACTTTTAAAACATTAAAAATAAAACTTCAAATTAAATAATCATTTTGGATGGAAGCATTGATTTTATTGCTTTGCTCATCTATTTGAATTTCAACATAGAGTACATTGACAGGGTGGTTTTTTTTTTTTGGTATTTCCAGTTATCTCACTTATATGAAGACAACAAACTCAAAAAACTTGCTTATGTTTTAACTGTAGCTACGTGAATAAGATTGACAAACTTACCACACTACCTCATAAGAGAAGTGTTGGTGACTCTAGAGATACGTGCCAGTGACGGGTTACAGAAATTAAGAATACGTAAGAGTATAGTGAACTGATGTATATAGTGATTAGAACAGTATTTTAATCATAATAGAGGAAAAGTTGTAAGAGCCTTGAGTAATTTTTTATGCATCTTTTACCCAAGTGTTATTACAAACAGAAGATGAGTAACACGAATAGTGGGAAAATATGAGTTACTCCTTTAATCAGAAAATAAATATCATTATTATATTAAAATAATTCAACGTATTGTATAATCAGTTTGACACTAAAAATATATATAAATAAGCAAATGTAGTTGAAGTCCATAAAATGAGTGAGCATCCACTTACCATTTCATTTTTTTTTTTTCTCTTTTTTGGAGTTCTATTTATAATTTATTGTTATCTAATACACACAAAAATTTAATTCTCTTTTTAGTCTAAATTAAAAGGCACTAGTTAACATTAAAATTAATTTTAATTTATGCTTTATAAATAGGACCATTAAGACTGAATTTCTATTTTCTGTTAATTAACCCAAAAAAAATTTTTCTTTTCGACACCCAATTAATACATACTGACTAATTATAAAACAAGCTTAAGTTTGCACAACAGTAATTGTGACTGTTGTTTACACACAAGTAATTGTGACATATGAATTTGCTTAATTTATCATCCGTTGCTCTCTTGAGCGCCCTCATGAAAATGTACTAGCTTTGGACTTATATTAGAGACTTGGCTATAAGCCTCCAAATTCTCTTCAGGTAGTTTTAGAAAAGGAAAATTTTGACGAATATTGTAAAGTAATTTTTTTTTGGGGCGGGGGAGGGGGAGTTGTGGGGAAGACTTTGCTCTTGTCTCGTGTGATTACTGATACAAGTTTAGAGTAAAATCTCCATTAAAAATTTGTATTATTACTGAGAATTTATACAAATTACATGAATGTGTTTACAATAATACACAACTGAAATTACAGTGAAAGTAAGATAAGTACAAATCAAATAATAAATACAATATCAACCTAATCTATATTTCTTAATCTATATCCAGCAGTCAGAATAGGAGAATCTCGAATGTTCAGACTGGACTGAAAATCCAAAAATAGTAATGAAGGCAACCCTTTTAGTGAAGATGTCCGCTAACTGATGAGAGGTTGGGACATGTAAAATACGAACATCACGTAAGGCAACCCGTTCACGGACAAAATGAATATCTATTTCAACATGTTTGGTACGGTGGTGCTGTACATGATTAGAGGCAAGATAAACAGAGCTAATATTATCACAATATACAATAGTAGCTTTAGGAAGGGGACAATGTAATTCTAAAAGAAGATTACGGAGCCATGAAGTCTCGGCAACAGCATACACAACCTCGCGATACTCTGCCTCGGCACTAGACCAAGAGACAACGTGTTGCCGTTTAGATGACCAAGAAATGAGATTATCACCAAGAAAAATACAATACTCAGAAGTGGAATGATCTGGACAACCTGCCCAATCGACATTAGAGTAAGCAATAAGGTGATCTGTAGAGGAAGGGCGAATGGTAAGACTTTTTGATAGAGTTCCTTGGAGGTAGCACAGAATTCGCTTGAGAGAATTAAAATGAGGTTCTCGGGGATCATGCATGAATAGGCAAATTTTTTGGACAACATATGCAATATCAGGACGAGTGATTGTTAAATATTGCAGTGCACCAGCAAGACTACGATACAGAGTAGGATCAGAGATAGGAGAACCAAAAGAGGAGAGTTTAGCCTTAGTGTCAACAGGGGTGGCACATGGATTGCAGGAAGACATGTTTGCTCAAGCAATAATTTCACGAGCAAAATGCTCTTGAGAAAGAAAGAGGCCAGACGAGGACCGAGTAACAGAAATGCCTAAGAAAAAACTAAATGGACCAAGATCAGTCATTGCAAATTCAAAAGAGAGAAGAGTGGTGACATGTGTAAGAAAAGACTGGGATGAGGTGTTTAAAATAATGTCATTGACATATAAGAGAAGGTACGCTGTGTGGGACTCACGACGGAGGACAAAAAGAGATGTGTTAGCCTTATTACTAACAAAACCCAAAGAAGAGATGTAAGTTGCAAAACGACGATACCAAGCCCGTGGGGCCTGTTTCAGACCATAGAGAGCCTTTTTAAGACTGCATACATTGTGGGGAAACAGAGTATTAGTGTAGCCAAGTGGTTGTTTCATGTAAACTACCTAAGAAAGATGATTGTGAAGAAATGCATTCTTGACATCCAATTGATGAATTGGCCAAGTACGCGACAAGGAAAGGCTAAGAACAGTATGAATAGTGGCTGGTTTCACGACAGGACTAAAACTCTCATCATAGTCTAGACCGGGTTGTTGAGTAAAACTTTGAGCTACAAGCCGAGCTTTGTATCGCTCAAGAGAGCCATCGGAACAAAACTTGTGTCTGTAGATCCATTTAGAGCCAACAAAAATGACATTAGAAGGACATGGAACAAGATCCCATGTACCATTGGCGTGCAAAGCAGCAAGCTCAGCATCCATAGCGGCCTTTCAATGAGGATCACGAAGTGCTTGTGAGTAGGAGCGAGGAATAGGAGATGGGCTAGTAATAGCAGAGAGATTGAGGAGATGATGTGGGCGGAAAATACCACCTTTAGACCGCGTCATCATGGGATGAGAGGTGTGTACACGAGAAGGCTGTCGGGAAGGTTGTTGAGGGGGTGTGGGTTGACGTGAAGATGGAGAAGAGGACAGCTGTATAGAAGATTGAGAAACACCTGGTGGAATTTCTTGGTGAATAAGAGGAGGAGGATCCTCATCAGAGGAGAGAAATCATAGTTCTCAGAAGGCGGTGTTTGATGAAAGGAAGAGTACAGGAAGACATTTTCATCAAAAATCACGTCTAGAGATAATAATTTTGTTAGTAGTGAGATCGAGACAACGAAATCCACGATGGTTAGAAGGGTAACCTAAGAAGATGCAAGCGGTGGACCAAGGTGCAAGTTTGTGAGGAGTGGTAGTAGAGATATTGGGGTAACACAGGCACCCAAAGACTCGAAGATGGGAGTAAGAAGGAGAAATATTGTAGAGCACTTCAAAAGGGGTACAATAAGAAAGTGTTGTTGTAGGTAAGAGACTGAGAAGGTGAACAGCCACGTGAAGAGCTTCAACCCAAAAAGAAGAGGGTAAAGTGGCTTGAAAAAGGAGAGTGCGAACAATGTTATTGATAGTTCGAATGGTGTGTTCGGCTTTACCATTTTGTTGAGAAGTATAAGGGTAGGAAAAATGAAATTCAATTCCATTAGATTTGAAAAATTGATGAAAGGATTCATTGTCAAATTCATGGCCATGATCACATTGAAAAGTTTTGATGATAGAATTAAATTGATTTTGGACAGAAGCTTTAAATGTAAGAAATACATTAAAAACTTCAGATTTAGTGCGAAGAGGAAAAACCCAAAGAAAATGAGAAAAATCATCCAAGAAAAGTACATAATAGCGAAAACCATTCATACTACTGACTGGAGATGTCCACAAATCAGAATGAATAAGTTCAAAAAGACATGATGCTTTTGATCCAGAAGGAGAAACTGACAAGCGAGTGTGTTTGCCTAGTTGACAGGCATGACACAAAGAGTTATTTTTACTTAGACAATCTATGAACTTTCAAGAAGATAAAAAATAAAACACAGAACGTCCAGGATGGCCAAGACGCCGATGCCAAGTTTGTGGAGAAAGTGCTGCAAGAGATATTAATGAGGAATGCAGACTGACACTAGAAGGAGTAACGGGATAGAGGTCTCCGTCACTGTCACTACGATGAATTAAGGCACCAGTCCTAATGTCCTTCCCAGAGAAACCAAAAGGGTCAAATTCCACAGTGCATAAATTATATCTAGTAAACTTACGCACAGAAATTAAATTTTTAACTAAGTGAGAGACTAAAATATCATGAAGAAAGAGGAATTTTAGAGCAAGGGAAAAAAGAATTTCCTAAAAATTGGACAGGAAGTACAACACCGTTACCAACCATAATTAATTTAGATGTATCACAAGGTTTCAAAGAAATCATGTTACCGTTAGATGATGATATAGTGGCAGTTGCACCAGAGTCCATATAACAATCATCATCACGAGGTTGTTGCACTGACATGGTTGCAAAAAGGCTTGCTAAATCAGTAGGCTGGTTCCCAACAGATGGATGAGAAGCGCCTGCAAAATGGGAAGAGAGCCCATGCTGTGGATAACCAATGAGGGGCTGAATCGAAGAGGGAGTCAATGGAGGCTGAGCATGAACTGGAGGAGTAGAATTCCATGGAACCGAAGAACTAGGCGAGTAAGGAGCAGGACCGAGGAGGCTCGGGCTACTGAATTGCTGCTGAATATGAGGTTGTGCGGGAGGAATCCATGGGGACTGCTGCACAAAATAATTCTGATGAGGGCGCCAGTAACTTCCTTGTGTAGGTGGCTGAGATCCAAACCTAGGAGAGAAAGAAGAATGCTGCAAAAAAATGTTAGGCCGAAAATTACATTGCTACCAAAATGAGCATTGGGTTGAGTACCACGACCTATGTTTTTGTTTTTATTCTTCCCTCGACCTTTGCCGTTATCATTATGGGAAGGAAAGTGATGAGAATAAAGAGCAACTTGAGAAACAATAAGAGCAGGAGTAGGGTGGTTTTGATTTCACGAGATTCATGCAAAAGAAGCATGTTTCGAGCCTGAGCAAAGGAAGGAAATGAAGTTTTATTGGTGATAACATCAATGATGTTATTGTAAGAGTCAGGGAGATTATTAAGAATTTGAAGAACAAGTTCTTGATCAGAGATGGGTGAATCAACATCTTTAAGATTATCAGCAAAACGTTTCATATTACGGCAAAATTCAGAAATACTCAAATCATCTTTAGAGTAGTTTCGAAAACTATCCTGCAATTGAAGAGATCGGGACAATTTGTTATGAAAAAAGGCTTCAAGGTTATCCCAAATTTGTTTTGCAGTAAAGTTATCCCCACTAACACTATCTAAGAGGCTAGCATTAACAGAATTATAAATCCAAGTTTTGATTTTAGAATCAAGAGAATACCAATCGTCATCGGTATCATCTTTGGGAGTTGATTTGCCAGTAATATGATCAAAGACACGATAACTACAATATACATCCGAGAAGATAGTGTGCCATAGTTTATACTTTGGATCTTCTTCACAAAGTTTAAAATTAAATAAGTGATAGACAGTATTTACAGCATAAGCAGTGTAATGAACGAAAGAAGTAGCAGAGTTGGAGGAAGGTTTGGGGTCACCCATAATGATTAAAAAAAATTTAAAAAAAAAACAAGAAACAAACGAAACGGTTGAATGGACTTACAAAACCAAGCACATGGAGGCGTGAAATCAATCAGCAAAGAAAAGAGGCAAGAAAGAAAAAAAATCATGCGAGCAGAATTTTGAGGGGAGGTGATGGAGGCTTAAATATACGGAAGAGTGATAGGATCAACACTAGTTGATACCATGATACAAGTTTAGGGTAAAATTCCCATTGAAAAACTTGTGTTATTACTGGGAATTTATACAAATTACATGAGTGTGTTCATAATAATACACAACCGAAATTACAATGAAAGTAAGATAAGTACAAATCAAAATAATAAATACAATATCAAACATAATCTATATTTCTTAATTTAACAATTACAATCCCGTATCCTCCCATCGCGGCTTGCATATCATGGACTTTATCACACACGAATAGACTAGTGCATATCTAAGCTAAAACCAGAATCACGTATCATTTATTTGTCAATATAAAATACACTCGAGGAACATGCAATTAACTTCTTGGATAGTTTAGCTTGTAAGGTTGAATGACGGTCCATAACATATCAAGGAGAATATAATAACAAAAGGTTTTAATTATCTAATTTACATATAAGATTGATCATGTGGATTTTTGTATCGTCATCGTATCCCCTTGATACATGTATTTTTATTCGAATATATATTAAGAAAAATAAATTAAACAATAATTCAACATATTAATTTGCAGCCTGATGACAATAAGGTTGGTGGAATGCTGTGGCTTGTGGATGGTAATGAAACTGATATATTCTGAGGACAAAATTAAAAGGCTTAGTCTTCCAGACTTTTTTGTTTATTAGTTGGACCATTAACATTTTGTAATGGCGTTTATTTTTCTCCAACAAAATTAAGGACAAGCTTATCCAAATTCTCTATATTTGGAAGTTAACATAATTGTCAATGATCCTCAAGGGGGAAAAAAAATAATAAAAAAATCGTCAATGAAGAAAAAGTTAAAAGAAAACGCGTCCCAACTCAATGTTAATATTATTCGATGGTTCACTTTGTATTCTTCAAATAACTGATACTACTAGATTAATCTTTACAGCTTGATTTAGTGAAGAAGCAAAATTGCTTCTAAAATTGTTGAAAATTTATCTAACTCAAAAATAAATTTAAAAAAAAAAAGCGAAAAAATAGTGGTTTTTTTTATCCCGTGGGATAATTTTAATTCCAAATAGTTTCACCACATGCATATTTTTTAATTTAAATACATTTTTCTTCATCCCAAGTGTGACCAAATTAGAGAAATCAGTGTGTGAGAAGAGAGAACAAAAACAACTGGCCTGGCCCACATCGACTCTAGTCTTGGACTTCTGTGGCTGTGATGGCTGCTGTTTTTATACTGCAAAATAAAAAGAACCATTTGCTAGCTACTCCATTATGCAAAAGATCCTCCTCCTAATTCTGCTCCTCAACTCCAACAAGATTTTCTTCTAGTCTTAATTCTTATGGCGGGTCTGCAGTACAAATTCTTCCCAACAGATTTCTTATTTCCCCGTCAAAAGACAAGTGATCTTCCGCATCATCAACCACAGGTTCTTATGGCAAGGACCAATGATCACGATGATGATCAAACGGCTGCTGCGGAGGATGTTAACGTTCATTCTACTACTAACAAACAAGCTACAAAGGTGACCAGAATGAAGAACGCCGGTAACACCAAGAAGACGGCCGCCCTCAAAGCCGTTAATCCTTCCTCTTCCTCCTCCTCATCATCATCTAAATTCTAAAGAGCCGCTCTCAAATCCCATCATCATTCATTGATGATCAGCAACATGTCAAGATTATTAGCTCATATTGAAGAGGGTTTTTTTTTTTTTTTTGGGTTATGATCAGCTACACGACAATCCTTCCTGTAACATTTATGTGGATTGATAATATATTGTTGCTAATCATGAATAATTGTTATGTATGTATAAATAATACATGAGAGTTGCTGATCTTGAGTTGGTGTTCTTGATCTCTTTACGAATTTTGCAAGTTATGTGTTTTTTTTTTTTTTTCAAGTTATGTTGAATTTTCGCATCATCACCAACTGAAAAAAAGGGTATATTCGATGATCAGTACTACTCCTACCAATTACTGCTTTGACTTGACTTGTGTTGTGGAGGGATTCACTCGTCAATTTTGGTAGGTGGACTGTTCTTTCTTTTCTTGTCTTTTCTTTTATATTTTTCGCACCTGTGCTTATTAAAATCAAAACAAAAAAAGGCATATTAATTAATTGGTCGGTCTTTTTTTCGTTTATAAAAAATCGGGTCACACTACCTCACGACTCACGAGTGATACATATACTATACATTATTTTGAAACAAAATTGAATTAATCAAAACAGGTCAAAGAAGATTTACTATATTGATTCATTTCAAACTGTCACACAATATAATCAAACAAGTGTTAGAAACTAATCAATGCAAGTGTTATCATTTTAGGACTAATTTTCCTGAAACACTAAATATTGGGATGAAATTGTGACATTTTCTTAAAACTGTACAGAAGTTGAAGTTGGTCACTTCCTCATTCCAAATTCCAAGATTTCATTCGGGTTTGAAACTTCAAGGACAAGTTTTCCTTCAGTTAGCACCAAAATAATATTTTGGTTTACTTATTTGAGGAATTGTATTTGAAGGATTACTCCTTTTTTGACTTGGTTTGGTCGGTGTTTACACTTGGATTAGAATTAAATTAGAAGGAAGCCGTAGGAAGAATGCTGTCTTCCTACAAATGAGGAAGAAGTTTGATTAGTTTTAATCTATAAAGGAGTTCTCATTGAGATTGGAGTGCACACACATGATGATTGGCCGTGCTTGGAAGTTGGAAGTTAGGCAAAGAGTAGCATTTTGAATTCTTTTCAAGTATGGCTTTACGTGATTTTATTAAAGGGTTTTTGTATGACTTACATGGTTCATAAGGAGACTAGTATCGGCAGAAGATAATTACCACTCCAATTGGGTTTTGTCCAAAGAGTCCCGTGGAGAATCTTTCGGTTCAAGAAGTAATCGACTACCTCAAACTCTATTATAAAAGGGAGGCTGTTGCGTCAAACCGAGAATATACCACAACTCATCATCATCGATACTATTCATTTTTCTTTCTAGTTCTTTCATTCATATAGGTAATCATTTATCGTTTTCTACTTCAATGAATTCGCTTCTTCTTGTAATAGTGCATTATCAACGTTCTCCCTAGTTAGTCGGCACTATATATCTCTTTTTCTTCCACTTTTAATCAATTCAAGGCCGAAGTGAACCCTAAGTCCTCGCTTCTAAGTCCTAGGCTGATTTTTTAACACATTAACAGTCGCTCTGATTTATTTTTATACTCGGGTTATTTTCTGTCTCCTTTCCACGATCCAAGTACAATTTTTGTTCAAACATAAAAAATAGTACGCTCGGTGGGACCAGGATTGATTTGATTCCTAGATTGTGGTGGTCTTTCTTCTTAAAATCTCTATTTTTAAAATCTCTGCCTTCTCTAAATAGTAATAAAAAAAATTTCTTTTTCCTTTGTTATCATGGGCTCCTCCAATAGCTGTATTTATGGTCTTAGTAGCCCTAGAGATCCGATCTATACTTCTTCTCCATATAATAGGTCGCCTGATAATTCTCAATTTTCATATTTTTATAGTCCATTACCACTTGGTGGACATATCTCTCAACAGCCCGTAGTTTCACAAGTAGCACATAATTCTTTTGGGGCTGAAAATAATATCGGATGGCAGGCTACCCTTGATGGCCGCTTTCTACAATCTTATAATCAATATGACGCAACACAGCAATCTAGTTGTGTCGACGGATGGCATGATGTGTCTATGGTACAAGAACCCTCTAGATTCGGGGGCCGGTCGTTGGTGGTTTTCCAATGGTTACACATAATGGTCACAATATGGTGCCATAGGTGCCAGTGCAGTAGCAACAACAGGTGTCTCCGGTACAACATCATCAAGTTCTGTTGTAGGCACAACCACAACGGGTTCTGTCGCCGTAGCATCAACAAGTTTTGTTGCAGGCGTAACCACAGCAGGTTCAAGTGCAGATGCAGGCACTACAGCAGCAGGTTTTGTCGTTGCAACATCAGCAAGTGCAGATGCAGGCACTGCAACAGCAGGTTTTGTCGCCGCAACATCAACAAGTGTAGATGCAGGCACTACAGCAGCAGGTTTTGTCCCAGCAACAACAGCAAGTTCAGATGTAGGCATTACAACAGCAGTTTCCGTTGCCACAATATCAGCAAGTTCTGTCACCAACGCAGCAAGAACAAGTGTTGTCGGTGCAACATCAGCTAGCAGAATCTTCGGCACATCAACATCAGGGGTCGTCGATGCAATATGATGAGAATTTGTAGGGAGTACAGCAAACTCAGCAGATCCAAGAAGCAAGTGAAAGTTCTGTTGTAATAGCAGATCAGTTGTAAGAAAGTTCTGTGACAGATTTATCGTTGATACCCGGGGAGCTACCTAGTGATTTTGATGTTGAATGTGCTAAGCTTAGGGAAGACCTACAAAAGAGTCTGAGTACCCTAAACAAGCATTTGACGCTGTAGAGGAACAGGTGTCACAACAATTATATACAGTTTCGGCGAGTGAATCATTGCTGATTATTGAAACTATAGTTGTTACTGAGCATTGTTTGCATACTGATTCATTTTGTTTGTCTAATGAACCTGTTATTGTTGAAAACAAGTCTGTTGAGGTTGATTGCAGGAAATCTTATGAGTCTTCTAGCAGCGACAATGATATTGGGGAGATTATTTGTGATAGCTGCGACAATGTTTCACCTGCAACTGATACTTCTATTTGTCCAAGTGTCGAGGAAATTAAGGGCGAGCAAGAGCAAGGTCAAGTGGCAATTCCTGATGCAAATTTATCTATGACAGCTGAACCGGCACAATGCTTAGTTACTGATGTTCCAAAAGAAGCAGCAGCAGACCAACAGGTTGCAGTTTCTACTGATGACTTCTAAGATCGGCAGTGCAACAGTAGTGCCGAATTGGTTAATAATGCAACGGATTCCAAGTTGGTTAAGCAGAAGTTTAATCATGCCTGGCTTTATAACAAGAGAGGTTCTGCCAACAGAAGAAGCAAGCAGAATAAAGGGAAGCCAATACCGTATGGTTTTCACTTTGCAGAAAGGGTTGATGACGGTCTTGAATTACGTGACATCGATTTTGATGGTGGCGACAGTAATTATGCTTATTTGGAGTATGGTGCTGCTGTAGAATGGAGGATTGATTTGGTTAAGGATCGTGAGTTGCTAAAATCCTTGATTGGCCTAGAAAAGAAGTGTTCCGTAAGAGATCAGTCGAAGATGCTTACACTTTCCGTTGTGCGGCCTAGCAGAATCAAGGCATTTGAGGCCAAAGTTGTCGATGCTAAGTTTAGTAGTGATTCAGCTAAGATCAATAATGATGTAACTATTCAATGTGTGGCCGATCATGAGAAGGAGTCTGTTGTTGAAGTGTTGAAAGTTGATGATAGGGCAGACGGCGATCAAGAAGGTTCTGCTCCAGATGCTAGTAAGTTGTCGACGATTAATGAAGCAGTTGAAAGTATCAACGCCACGTCAAGCTCTCAGGTTCAGAATGATAGTGGGTACCAGAATAGTAGTTCTCCTGCACATGAGGGCCAGTTCCAACAAACTCATAAGGTTCGCCGCGACAATATTGGCAATCATACTTGGCGTCGACGCAGTTCAAGAAGTTTTGGCATAGCATGTGATCATTCTCGAAGAAGACACCCAACATCTCGGCAAAGCATGCACCTCGTTTTCATCATTATATTTCTCATTTCGCATAGGTGCTATATTACTTTGTTGTTCCGGCAGGTTGATGTTATATCGATGTTAGTACCATGCTGAATGCATATTATTGGTCACAATGTGTTTATCAATGTCCATATCTCATTCCATTCCATATTGACGTTCAGGGGACTTTATGTTAGCACCAAAATAATATCTTAGTTTACTTATTTGAGGAATTGTATTTGAAAGATTACTCCTATTTGACTTGGGTTTGGTCAGTGTTCACACTTGGATTAGAATTACATTAGGAGGAAGCCGTAGGAAGAATCCTGTCTTCCTACAATGAGGAAGAAGTTTGATTAGTTTTAATCTACTAAAGGAGTTCTCATTGAGATTGGAGTGCACACACATGATGATTGGCCGTGCTTGGAAGTTGGAAGTTAGGCAAAGAGTAGCATTTTGAATTCATTTCATACTAGGCTTTACGTGATTTTATTAAAGAGTTTTTGTATGACTTGCATGGTTCATAAGGAGACTAGTATCGAAGAAGAAAATTACCACTCGAATTGGGTTTTGTCCAAAGAGTCACGTGGAGAATCTTTCGGTTCAAGAAGTAATCGACTACCTCAAACTCTATTATAAAAGGGAGGCTGTTGCGTCAAACCGAGAGTATACCACAACTCATCATCATCGATACTATTCATTTTTCTTTCTAGTTCTTTCATTCATGTATTTTTATCGTGATTTCTTAGTTTAGTCTAAATTAAATAGTTTTTGGCCTATATTTCTTTATAAAAATAGGTAGTGGTTTATCATTTTCTACTTCAGTAAATTCGATTCTCCTTGTAATGACGCATTATCGACGTTCTCTCTATCTAGTCGGCGCTATATATGTCTCTTTTTCTCCCACTTTTAATCAATTCAAGGCCATCACTTTGGCTTGTCTCACTTTTTCTCTCTATTTTCTTATTATAATTAAATCGAAGTGAACCCTAAGTTCTCGATTCTAGGTCCGAGGCCGGTTTTTGAACATATCCATAGTCGCTCTGATTTATTTTTATACTCGGGTTATTTTCAGTCTTCTTTCCACGATCCGAGTATAATTTTTGTTCAAACACCTTCTACTGGAGGGATCCAGAAATGCATGTTATATAGATATTTTAAAGAAGGATCTGAATCCCTTCGTTGATATTAACGAAGAAGCAACATTGAGCATTTTCTGTGCTAAGAGATAACACTCTTCCGGACATCGGATAAAGTTTGGGACGATATACAGATAAAATAAATATGATTTCGTTCTCAATGGAAGAATTAACATCTGAGTAACTAATTTTTGTCACTTGATCGAGTTGCATAAGGTTAAATTTTGTGCACTTGCTCTAAAAATTTTCCTCCTCTTTGGGATTGCTGGCAATCGATGAAAGCAAATTTAGCAGCATTATTGACATGGCATGTTAAATTTGGGCCAAGCACCTTTTGAATTATATTTTGTTCCAAGAAGATATCAGACAAAATTTTTGTAATATCGACAAGTTAGAAAGATAGAAGTTGTGTACGATCTTTGCCCTCCCATCATCGATCCATGAGAAAAACAAATAGAAAGTTGTAAACATCAACATTGTGAATTCGGAAACAAACATTAGTTTTCACTTTTCAGGAGCTCGTTAAGAAGTCACGAGTTCGAATTTTACCGATTACAAAAAGAAAGTTAAAAAATTATTTAAATTAAAGGGTTACTATACGCTTTCAGTTCTTCAGCGCGTAAGGCTCTAACGCTGTTTCCTTCAACCAGTATGCAACGTTGTAAACTGATTTGACATTATAAAGAGTAACACATAGACATATTACTAAATAACATTAGATTTTGTTTGATTTCTTCTACTTTCTCCTTTTTTTTTTGTTTTTTGTTTTATATCTTTTTGTAAGAATGATTATATTTTTATTTTTATTTTTATTTTTGTAGAATAAACGTTGTGTTATATGGTCCAATTGTAATCTTATTGCCAAAAATTTTAGATATATATAACTCGTAAGATCAAACGGTGGCAACGTAAGAACGACTAATTTGGATTTGTTCATGAGATCATATGCTATATATATCAGGAAGCTTCATTATTTAGTATAACAAAGTGAACCCGAGAGCTTGAAGAGATCGATCTAGCTACTAGTATAAATAATCAAAATCAAGGGCATTTAGGACCGCCTCGTTTGGTCTTCCAGTTATTGTAACAAGGGCAAGATTGCTTGTTGCCATAAGTGCCTGCAGGAACACAAAGGCAAGTTGCACAACATTTCTGACAGAAGAACATGCATGGCTTCTTGAATGCTGTTTTTGAGCATCTGTATGAACATCTTCCTCCACATTCTGCCAAAGAAAAAAAAAAAAAAAAGCCCAGAAATTTTGTTATCAGAATTCATCAAAGAACGCATATAACTGGGTAATCAGTACCATGTTAAGTAGTGCAAAACCAATTTCCAATCAAGAACAAGGCCACGGTGAGTTCTAAAATTCGCGGTAACTTTAGGAGCTCAATATGGTTTTTTGGTCCCTCGTTCTGGAAAACGTTTCGAATCTTTACTTACGTTTTTGCTTCAATCAAATGACAGTTTGGTTTATTGTTGATTGATCTAAAGGTCAACACTTTTGTCCCAAGTTGACAATCTATTTGAAATTTCCAGAATTGCAAATTGCTGGCGAGTTTGACGAAATTCAAAAATAAAGAACCAAACCGGATTAAGACACCTTGTTAAGGGAATATATTTAGAGCACTTTAGATTCATTATAAGGAAAGATGATACTAACTCCTTTTTAAGAAAAAGAGAAAAAGAATAAAATGATGGGAAAGACAACAGAAAATGGTCTTCTAAACATATGCATATTGATCAGCAAATTTAAGAAAAGAAGATGTTACCTTGAGGTTGAAGGCTGCCTTGAGTTGTACCATGCTGAATACAAAAGAAAACGTTGAACAAGGATGTTATTAACATACAATTACTTGGGTAGTTTACTTTTTTTAAAAAGAAATGGATAACAAGAACTCAAAATTTAATTGTAATGGAGTAAATGTCTCATAGATTCTTACCAAGGGGAGAAAGCCTAAGGGCTGAGGCAATGGGGCTGGAGATGGAGTTTCCACAGCTTTAACCATCACCTAAGAATAATGCAGAGATTCGGTTCAAGTTTACAAATGTCACAAATTAATTCTGTTTTCGTAGTTGGGGTGTGTGTGTGTGTGTGTGTGTGTGTGCGTGTGTGACTTACATGGCTTCTTGATAGGAATAGAAAGAGAATGATTAGAAGATGTAGCATCGCAATGTTCGGCTTATTCTCCATCTTACTGATTGATTGAGAATCCTTGATGAATTCTGTTCAACTCAAGAGGGAAACGAGGAGAAAGATGCTTTTAAGAATGTGAAATTCTGAAGGGAATTTATAGACTTCAGAGGAAAAATGCCCAACTTGTTAGTTTACTCTGCCCATGAAAATGTACACTTTGTTTAATAGTGTTTTTTGGTTTTTCTTTCAGCATTTACCGAAATGACAAAAGGTGATAACATGGAATTGTATGCTTAATGCCAAAAGAGGGGGACCTCTGAAACTTGGATTCATGTGATCATCTAAGTTGTGTAGTTAATTCGGTTTGGAAACAGAGTTAGGCATGAGAGCCGCAGTTCTAAGTCAGGCCATTTTATGTTTAGGTTTAAAACACAGAAGGGATTAACAACTTCATCTTCATTAAATTGCAACATCAAAAAATTTCATGCGAAACAGAAACCTGATTTGAAAACGATAGGCTATAAGCCCTTCACATGTGGGATTCACATGGTGGATTCTCTCTTTTCTTTACTTGTCTTTTTGCCTTTTTCTTCTTCAATATCATATCCAACAAAACCCCATGAAATTTAGAGAGACGCTCACATCCCATCCATTTTTAGACCACAAAAAAAAAAAACCTCAATCTGTATAGCTTCAGAACTCCTTGTCTTCATACACAGGTGTAAAAGAACAGAGTACAATACCTGACTTTCTATCTTATTCTCGTGAACCCTTTACATCCTCTCTTCCAAGAACCAGAAACTGCCGCATGGTTTCTATGGGCCAAATTAATTGAGTAGTTGTACACAAAAAGTTTGTGGTTACATAAATTTGTTGTTCTGCGTCTGTTGCTAAATGCAGAGGAAACAGAGCTATAGGATATAGCAATAGATTATACCCAACCCTTCTAACTCTAGGACATACTAGTTTCTTTAGGTGATAATTGGAACAGACATAAATCTTGAAGTTGAAATGATCTTCTATGCACAACTACTTACGTTGAGAGAAATAAGACCAACAAGATTGTCATTTTTGTTTTTGAGCAAAATCAAACTGCTAGACATTGTAATTATTTAATTTTTTGCACGAAATTACTAGCACTTCATAACACAGGCGCCAGTGTTCTCCAAAAGGAAATGGTGATTGGATGGAATCCCAATAAGAGAAGTAAAAGAAATGAGCCAAAACTAAATAGTGCAGAAACTCAATTAGTGCCAAAAATACAAGGTTATTGCGTTAAGAGTAAAGCAAAGGATTCAGAACTTTGGGTATATGTAAGTCGATGGGAAATTGATAATGGCAGCTCAAAAGTGCACATATACATTAAGATCAGCTGCGGGGTCTACCAGTTCAAGGAACAATTAAGGATTCCTAGCATTGAAGAAATTGATCCTGGACCAGATGAATCAGTCTAGGACTTATTTGATACTGTACAGGGACTTATTTGTACATAATCTGTAAATAGCATACTTTAGTTTGAAAATAAGTTTAGGTCAATTAGTCAACAATTACTCTCCGTCCCATAATTATTGTCCAGTTTGGGTTTTAATTTTTAGTTCAAATTGTACTAAAAGTGAAATCTCAAACTGGACAATAATTTTAGGACAGAGGGAGTATAAGTTAATTTATGTATCTTAAGTTGGTCACCGACTTTCTATATAAGCAGGATTAGTCTTCTTAAACAACTTTTACAGTACGTTTTACTTTATCCACTTTGATTAATCGATTGAAGTTCATCCATGGCTACTCCGTCTTTCTTTTCTACAAACCCTAGGTTACTTTAGATGGTATCAGAGCCATAGGATCTCTACTTTTCTAATTGCTACCGTAGGAAGTTACTTCTTGATCTGCTTAATCATTCTACCAATTCAATTTCTTGTTTTTCTTGTTGCTTGATGAAAGATGCCTCGCTCGGTTGATAATTCACGTGAAGTCGAAGAACGTCACCTGCAAGAGTTGATGAGTTTAACAGGATCAGAGAATACAGGAACACCGTTGATTGCAGCTTATCTTACTCGTTCAAACTATCTTGCCTGGAGTAGAACGATGCGTACATTTCTTGAATCGAAGATGAAGTTTGGATTTGTAGATGGTTGTTGTCCAGTTCTGCCAGAAAATTTTGTTGAGTATCAGCACTGGAAACAAGTAGATTCTACCGCCAAATCTTGGATAATTGCTAGAATAAGGAAAGAATTGTATGACAGTTATATGCATAACATGACTTCTAAGGAGCTTTGGGACGATTTGGCTGAGAATTATGGAACATCTAATAGTCAAATGTTGTATAGGATGAGGCAAGACGTTTATCTGTTGTTCAAGGTGATTCATCTTTGGTTAAGTACTACACTTCGTTGAAAAGAGTTTGGGACGAATACTCTCATTATAGGCCAATGCTTGATTATCCTGCTCCTGTTGCTAGAGTTTTAACTACTAGAGAAGAGGAGGATAAGTTGATTGACTTTCTTATGGGACTTAACAAGGAGTATGAAGGAGCAAAGGACCAAATCTTAATGATGGATCCTCCTCCTTCTGTGGCTAAGGCATATAATATGCTCTTGAAGAAGGAGAAGAAGCCAAAAGCAACTGGAAGTGCTTTGATGTTAGATCAGGAAGTGTATGTGGCACATTCTACTAAGCAAACTGGTGATGCCTCTGTTGGGAATGCACAGAATACAGCATTACTTGCCAAACCTCATATGCGCTTTGGTCAAAGGAGTTATAACAGCGGAAACAATAGCAACACTTGGAAAAAGAATACAAAAGACATGATTTGTACTTACTGTCATAGGACTAGACATGAGAAAGAAACGTGTTTCAAATTGCATGGCATACCAGATTAGTGGAGGGAATTGAAAAATAGGCAAGCTGCACAAGCTGGAAAACAAGTTTATACTCACAATTATGCTCATCTTGCAGAAGCTGAAACTCCACTGGCTTTGACACATGAGTTTACCATGCCAAGCACTAGTTCTGGATCAGGATACAACTTGGAGCAAATTGATTTTCTGGCTAAGCAAATGGCTTCTATACAAGCAGAGTTTAGTAAAATCATACAGATCAAAGGATTAGCATCTGCCAGTTCTGGAAATCTAGAATAGCATCATGTGAACTTTGCTCACATCAGTGACTTTGCAAGTAGTACTGTCTACTCTAAGCTGACAGGAATTAAGGCACGCATTTCTCACTAAGTTCTTCCCACCATCTAAGGCAGCACATTTTAGAACTGCAATTATTACGTTCCAGCAACATCATGATGAAACATTATGAGTCTTGAGAAAGATCAAGGGGCTGCTGAGAAAATGTCCACAGCATCAAATTGAGGAACATATGAGGTTAGGAATTTTCTATAATGGTCTAACCTAGTCCTCCAGAGATTCTCTCGATTCCTCTACTAGTTGAGCATTCATGATGAAGAATGTGGAAGACGCAACCCAGGGATTGGAGAATATGGCAACCAACCACTACAGATGACAATCAGATCCCAAAGCTTTGCCCAAGAAGACTGGCGTATTGGAAGTTGATACAACTATACATATGCAAGCCCAACTCTCCCATCTCTTAAATCAGATGGCCAAAGTTGAAGCTCGCATTGCCAAGTCACAAATTGACTTGTGTGCGTCATGCTCTGGTCCACATAAGATTGATAACTGTCCTGAGTTGATGGAGTCAGCTCAATTTGTTCGCTTGAACAACGCCAGAGGTTTCTATCCTTACAACAACTAGAGAGGGGATCAAGGCAACTGGAATAGCAATCAGCAATAATGCAACTACCAAAGACCTGACCAACCACCTGGTTTCCAAAAACTAGAATGGAGTTTAAAAGAAAGTGATGTGGTGGAGCTAAAGACTGTGATCAAGTCTTTATAAGCCAGCCAACGTCAATTGGAGGCAAGGTTGAGTCAGAATGAGAAGCTATGTGCAGAACGTTTAGCAGGAATTTTGCCAAGTGATACTGTGGAAAACCCAAGGCCAGCTCAGCAAAAACATGCCAAGGTTGTATTACTTCACAGCAGAAAGAAACTCACTCCCACAAGTGAGATTCTCATTCCAGCACCCGCAGTTGTATTTGAGGAAAATGAAGATGTCATTGACCTCATTGAAGATAAAGAAGATGCAGTGGATCCTAAATGGCATTCCACAACAAAACTAGGCTTGGCAGGGGAGGCTCAATCTCCATCTCCTCATGATCAGCCTGAGGTACCAATACCCCCTTATCCACTTAGACAAGTCAGGAAGAAGACTTCAGAAGTAGCCATCAACAGATTTATGAGTAATCTGGAAAGCTTACACATCAACATTCCATTGATTGATGCTCTGAAGCAAATGCCAAAGTATTTCAAGCACCTGAAGGAGTTAGTCTCAAACAAGCCAAGGATTCATGATTCATCATTCATAACTTTGAATGAGGAGTGCAGTGCAGCCATTCTAAAGAAGCTGCCAGCAAAGCTTAAGGATCCAGGAAGTTTCACAATTCCTTGCACTGTCGGTAACACCAAATTTAAGAAAGCTTTGCTAGATTTAGGAGCAAGTATTAACTTGATGGCTTTATCCGTTTTTAATGCACTTGGAGTCAGTGATATACTTGTGCCTACTAACATTACCCTGCAGCTAGCTGATAGATCCCTTACATATCCAAAGGGCATTTTGAATGGTATCTTAGTCAAAGTTGGATCATTCATTTATGCAGCTGACTTTGTTGTCTTGGATATGAAAGAGGATAAGGATGTTCCTATCATTTTGGGCAAACCTTTCTTAGCAACCTATGATGCTATCATAGAAATAAGGAAAGGAGTTGTAACGTTGCAGTTTGATGGAGAGAAAGTGACATTCAACATCTTCAACAGCATGAAATTTCCTGCATAAAAGCAGAAGTGCTTCCAGATAGATGTTGTGGAGGAGACTATTGAGCAAGTCTCTGCAGAGGTAATAGAGTCAGAGGAATTTCTTAAAATACTAATCGACGTTGAAATGGATACAGGACATACAGATGAGGACTCAGCCATGACATGGCTAAGTTA